TAAGCGAAATGATGGGAAATCTTTTTAAAAAAGAGCTAAGCTCTTTTAACATACACATTACTCGTACACAGACGATGTGAAGAAATATTAAAAAATAATAAAAAGCAATGATTCCAAAACATTTTCATTTCAACACTCCCTCTTTAAGAGCACGCAACACAACGCAATAACTCAGGTTTTCATAACATTGCACAAAATCTTCACCGTAATTACGGAACCGTACTTCTGCTTTCTGTATCCTCTATAAAAACTCACGGATTTATTCATTTTGTCATTTTGTTTGTGACTTTTCGAAATGACTTTCGATGTCAATCGGCCGAAACGATCAATGCTGAGTAAGTTTAGCTACCACAGCCTGGTTGTACATGCTTCTTATTATTTCCCAGACGTTTTTGTATTCCGCTGGTGTCCATTCAGATCTCCGTCTGTTCTCTCTTCGCCTTTGGCTGTCGATACGTCTGAGTCTTTTTTCGCATCCCTATATGTCTCCTTGATTATTATTGCATCCGCCTGCCAATATATCTTATTCTTAGATCGTGGAATCATTTCCCATCTGTCCTTCGCTCCCTCGCTCGTTTTGCCTTTCTGCTCATTCCTTCGTAAATCAATGTGTCTATTCATGCGGCTGTCTCGCAAGGGCGTGAATAGCTTTCTGCCTCCCTGTCCACCTAAATTTTCCTTCTTATGCCTACGTTCACAATGAATGTACCTTTTGTTGGATATACGTTCGCTTATCTACGACCTTGACGTCTGAGCATCTGTATGTGTTCTTTTTTTCGTTGTGGTTCGTCCGTCTTCTTATTTCCACCTTCCTATCCTCACTAAATGTCTCCTAGGCAGGATATAACTTTCTTCTTGCCTTTATATTCAAACATCTATCCGAATCTTTGCTAGTTTGCTATTCTGTACATCCAACTGCTCATTCACCAGCTCGGACAGTAGTCTGACGTCCGGTTTGCCGAAACAAAGGCGTATCCGTTCATGTACCCGTTCAAGTCCCTATGCCGTTTTTGTTACCCCGCCTATTCGCCACCTAGCTTATCTGACTATCATGCGCACTGTTAATTCTTAGTCTTTTCTTCTGACAATAGGCCTGTGGCTTATGGAATGTTGGGAAATCTCAAAAACTTATGCATCAAAACTAAAGCGAACTTGATCAAAAATTGATTCGACAAAAGCATATAGAAATTTTTGGAAAAAGTCAACCTGCGTAAGCGCGCATAGATTCAGGGATGTATGCACTGTATTAAGTCGAAATGTTGGGTAAATCTATTTCGCTCCAAATTGAAAATACCCTTTACTTGTTTATTTTAATGCCAAGTTCCTAGTCATATGCAGGCAATACAGATGTACAAACATTTGCACAATTATTTTCCCAACATTGGCTAACAGACATGTCCGTTGTATTTAAAATGCACAGTTGAATATCGGTATTTGTAACTGAGTGCATTACCCGGTTATAAAAACATGTTATACAATGTGCCCTTACACACATGCATATATGCATTGAAACATATTATTATTACTATATACTTCCCATTTGGTTAACCGCAATATTTCCAGTGGTACAGAACAGAATGCATACTGTTCGTGACGACGAAAGGTTTGTAAACCAAATCCCTATAGTTGCATGTGCGTCGTGTGATTATGTGCGGATATATGTGTGCGTATAGGTCTGTGTGTAAAGAGAGTCACATTGAAAAATCACTCAGTCAATTAAAAGCGGGCAGGTGTAGTGAAATTTTAATACATATATATTTTTTCGCTTTAATATCTTATATCGGTTTGTATATTTATATGTAATGGGCATAAATCATATGGGGTGGTTTACGGTTTACAGTTTACGCTTGTCTGTCTATGCTTTTCTATATTGTTTTTTTTATTTTTAATTTTGTTTTACACTCTCGCGTGCATTAAAGCAGTTGTACGTACTTTTCTGGTTCGTCCGTCTGTCACCTGCTTTCGTTTACGGTTTATTAAGAAACGCCTAACCATGAAAACAAAATCCGTTGTACAATGTGTTTTTTTTTTTTTCTGTTCATACTATTTCTGGTTAACGTATATATAAATCGTTGCTTTTCGCTTCGTAGGCAGTAGGAAATTATTGTAATTACATTAAAACGAAACAAAAAAAAAAAAAAAAAAAAAAGAACAAGAGAAAAAAAAAACAGGTCAGATTTACTTTCATTATATTATTTATACATACATACATACATACATACATACCTTACTTATGCAATTCTTAAGTAAACCGATTCTAAAAGCTTTTTCCTACTAAACTCTTCATTTTGTCTTCTTCTTTTCAACTTTTATTTAAGCATGAAGCGTACGTTATTTGTAAGGTTGAGAGAAGATGACAATAATATTTATCTCATAATATATTTGATATATATGTACGTTTAGTTAGTTAACTCTATTATCGTTGCATTTGAGCGACTTTTATGTTACATTACCTGGCATCCGCATTTTTTTACCGCAAAGCCATACAAATGCATTTAGTGAAATGGATTTGCATTTGCATTTGATTTGAAGTGAACACAATTCAGTGCTTTCCTACAATTCTATTATTATTATTACGCTTTCTACACTGGTGCTCTTGATGTAGTCGTTAATGTTTTCGGTATGGTTCGTTTAAACTTGACAACGGTAGCTACCAGTAGAATGTTTAAAACCTGATATATACTTGACTCAGTTATGCGCATATATAATATATATGTGATAAACAATGGCAAACGTGCTGTCACGGTATTAGGAAAATATTTTCAATTTGACCTAAAATTGATTGTTTGGTAATAAGTTTAAACTGCAAATATAACTGCATTCTTAAAATTCTTGGCTTACAAAAGATTGGTAGAATGAAGAAAGGAAACGGAGCGAAATGAATAAACATGTTTTGTTGGTGTTTTGTTAAAAAATTTTTAGATCGCGGAGAGATGTAGGCGGATTACATACTCAAAGATAGAGTTGTGAACGCCTTGCTTAGCAAATCTATTTAAAGCTAAACTTAACAAGCTGTCAATGTATGCTACGCGAAGCGCTAAAGTTCTAACGATAGCTGTACAAGTGCTTCACGATAAAGAACAAGCAAAATTCCTTATTCTAATACGTCTCCTCTTTCAAGTTTCTACTCTCAACTGTTTCTATATAGGCGTCTATCTACCTTTTCGATAAATACCGTAAAGCAAATCGAAAAAAAGCAGACTTACTCGCTTTACGGATACATGCAAAAGGCAAAACTATTCTCATCAAATACACCCGACTCGTCATGGATTCAGGATCGAATCAACTTATCCTTAACTTAATATTCTCTCGTATCTGTCTTTCTTGTCATTCTTAGATTTGGGATTCAAGAGAGAAAACGTTATTGGGGTTATTTTACTCCTTACAACTGAATGCACTGTTGCGCTTTATACTCATTTGGAGCTTGGAGAGCTTGTTTATAAATATAATTTTAAATCAGTCCAAAATTCTCTTGTTCTTGTTTTTTTCTTTTCATTCTTAAAACGAATCTTAAAAAAGTATTAAGGAGGTAAAAAAATGAAAGAGAGGCCAACAGACTTTGACGTCTGGACGTTCCAAACAATTATCCATTTCCTATTATGAAAAGCAAGTGGGAGGGACATGAAAATAGTTGTAAAAACATTTACGCTAAAGTTATCTCTATAGGCATAAGTCTGTCCATAAAGAGAAGTCACAATTGCTTTCCTGCTGAAAGGGCAACTTTGCCATTTTATTTTAAAAATATTCAAATTATGGCTAAGAGAATGACATACGCATTGTCCACTTTCTATGGGCTGCTCCTAGGTCCATTCTCCCGTATTAAATAAATAACACGACACAAATAATTCAAAACACTTACCATTTAGACTATCTCTCTATGGATTTTCGATTTGATGGACTTTCACGATATTTTGTGCATTGTGTTGGTTTGATCATATCTCCTGTAATCGTAGAAACTTTCTTTATTCAAATCACATCTGAATTTTTGGGAAAATTAAGCCACAATCTGGCAATGCCTGTAAGCGTAAATCATTGCTCCGTTGATGCTTTGATTTTCTTCGTTGAAAGATTATTTTCGCACCAAGTTATTACACATTTTTTTACATTTTTTTTGTTATTTAGAAAACAATTCAAAAAATTTTTGTTTTTTATTATATAGAAGACGATTCAAAAATTATTTTGACATTCAATAATATTGAATAAAGTTTTCAGTGGTGGGTTTATTGCTTCAAAAATATTTCAGTTAAGCAAAGACCTTTGTTTTTCTGCTTTTTTTTTTTTTTGTATATAAAAGAGGGATTTGGACTGTAAATGTACGGCCCTATATATACTATTGTTATGAGATTTTAACACAAAACTTTCTTAAGAGCTTCAGATTGATAATCGCAACAAAGGTGATCACAGAGAAAAAATTAAAATAAAATAATGCACAACACGTCATGATTATAATTGATTGATTCTTAACTATGCAATAATGTTAATCTCTCCCGATTAGTTGATATGCAAGTTGGAATAGCGTAATGACTTCTGTTCCGTTCAGGAGTTGAGTCCATTAGATTGATATGAAGCAAAGGCTATGTACGAATTGTTGAAATATTCTAGACAAGACAATAAGTTTAATTATAATTATAAGTTAAAAGGAGAAGCCAGCAATTAGCTGCTTAAGATGAGATTTATTGCGAGCATGAAATATTTTAAAGATCTTTTCTTTAAAGCTTTCCACATCGCCCCTATAACAGATTGCCACAGCTGTTGCTTTCCCAAACAGATTATGTCAAGCCTTTAGCGCACTTAGTGGTATAAATTTTCTGTCTAACTTGTGTTTTTTACTACCTCAAGATATAAGGCAAAGTTCAACCACAACTGTCTTCCTTTTCAAGCAAATACAGAAGCTGCCTATCATTTAAAGGTTTTTTTCTTGGGAACCAGAGTCTATTTCGTTGGCAAATATTCATATGAAACCGTAAGGTATTGTGTTTCGTGTGTGTATTGTGCGATTTTTGCTTTTCCCCAAAAACAGGCTACGTTGAACTTCCTCAGGGATGTGCGTTTCTAGTTGCAATTTTCTCCCTCAAGCTACAATAGTTGGGTAAGCGAAGAAAGAGATAAACCTAAAGTGATTTAGAAACCGATGCTTTCCGAAACCATTTCCTCCGAGCATTCATTATCAATTGAATAACAAAAGTTTTAAAACTGCATTTAAAATGAAATTTTAACTTTTATCTCCCACAGTGAATATGAAACCTCAACGCAATCTCTACTCGTTTAACCCAAGTCCATCTCATACATACACGGGAACTTTCGATTGATGTGTGTAGTAAAATCTGAGATGAAATCATCGTCAACTGCATATTTTCTTTCAAGTAAGTACCTGAACGTTTTATTCACAAACTTTGTTGTATTTATTTAAAATTCGCATTTACTCCAAACGTTCACTAGTCTGGTGGGTTCAATGCACTTAAATTAAATACTAGAAAACTATGTACATATGCGCCAACCACAAAACCGCAATTAAACTTGTTAACGTTTTCTTCTTTTTTTTTTTTTTTTTTTTTTTTTTTTTTTTTAACCATTTTAATTTTTCTTGTAACCTTTACATACTTGATAGCAATGCAATGGCAAGCTATGCATAATTTAGACACCAAGCAAATCTAATTTATATTTAAAGCGTACGGATTAAAGTGAATGACGTTGTGTTTTTTTTGCTTTATTGTAAATGCATACGAATTTCATCGTTCCGTTTGTAACATTTGATCAAATGCAAATTTTTAAGTCCTTGAACATTAAACATTAATATAAAATATTGAAATTGAGCATCTTTGCGTATCATTAGTTTATTTATATGCGTGGAACGTTTCATTACATAGTTCGTTTGCCTAAAAAAAAAAAAAAAAAAAACAAATATTTGGAGGTGTAACTGTCAACCTGCCAATAGCTCGCCAGGGGCCATTTGCATTTTATTTTCATAGAAAGTTATGTTAAGTTTTATATAGATATCTACTATAGCTTTTAGGTCATTGCCAGAGGCAATTACAGTTATTCTTTGTATACCTCTCGAGCAAGTTCCAATTAATTACCTGTGCATAATAATACGTTTGATGATTGGTTAAACCTTTTGCTTTTCTTACAATGCTTGCAATGAGCAAAGTCTAATATCCTCTCCTTGTGCGAGCTTAATCGGATTGATTGTGACAGTTTTGGGTAAATTTGTGTTTACCGCACGCCGCACTATGCCATAGGTAGTCTTTTCCAGGGCTGCCACCTCTGCCAAAGTACGTTAAAGCTAAATTTATCCAAGACACAGATGGTAAAGGATGTGCTGGATCAAAAGTAGTCTATGGAATATCCTGAAAATAGAGCAAACTGCTTGCCAACCTAACGCAAGGAATAAAAAAAAAAATAAAATCTGCAGCTGCTTTCTATCTAAAATCCGTTGAAGGAAGATAATTCCTAGCGCGATCGAAGCTTAGTTTTGATTGTCTTCCACTTATAAGATGAGAATATATTTAGGTTTCCAACTAAAGCAAAAATTTTAATATCACAAGTAAAGAGATCAGTTATAGTCTGCTGTCTTTACTCTTTATCCCTGTACATAATATTCCAAAGAAAGAAGAAATACACTCTAAGGGCACAAAGTCCGATGGGCAGTAGCAACTAAGACAATTAATTATATATTAATTGTATACTAATTTACTACTGCTTTTATATATATATATAAATATATATATATATATATATGTATATCAGATAAAAAGTACTTTTAAAGTCTACTCAAAACGGATATAAATTCCATAGGCAATTTTTCGAATCCCATCCATAGCCAAGGTCGTATCACTGTCAAGAAAAAATGCCTATAGTGTAATAAAATATTTTTCCAAAAATCTCACTTCTATTGCTTAAGCAGATTTCAATATTAAATTAAAATTTCGTAAATATTTCTTGGAGGAATTACCTTACAAAAGATGTTGTATATATAGCTTACATATAGAAAATAATTATATAATTTTAAGTAAGGTTTAGATCTTACATTTGTCAAAACTAATTTATAAACTTTGACACAAGTACTCTACCTTCTAAGCCATTCAATGTTCGCTAGAGATTATTCGCTATTCGACCTGCCTTTTGCTATTTTACTCATTATCCGCTATCATGAGTAAATCGTGTATTTACTTGCTTGCAAACTGAAATTATCGAACTTCTTTTTCTTTTTCTTTTTTTTGGTCTACAGAAGCGTTTCTAACTGGCTTTTATTAGTTTTTAAGCAGAATTAAATTAAATTTTCCTTAACTAATTGAATATCGAAATATTTTCAATCCTAAGTGATAGGTACTTGAAATTCGCCACTTATTTACTAGATTTTAAGACTAAGCAAACAGCAGAAGAACTTCAACACTATGTACATTTTAAGTATAATTGAGATTGCAGAGGAATTGTTTTCTGAATACAAAATTGGTTAAAAAACAAAAAAAAAAAAAAAAAAAAAAAAAAAAAAAAAAAAAAAAA